CTGCTTAATTTGGAGTTTTTAAATTATTAGTAATAAATTTTTGAAGTTTTGATCTAATTTTAAACTACGATTGATCAAAGAGTTGACTTTTTGACCCAAACCAAATTATGTTAGTTTGTTATTTTTAGAAAATACTAGATCTCAAATGGAATTGAATTGAAACTAAGTTTAGTTAATTTAGATTTTTTGGAATTACTTGAAATTTTTTAAAGTTTGTTTAAATCGTTAATTTTTAAATTGTTTAATTAAAAAGGTTTTTATTCTAAACTACATGGAATAACTCCCAAAGGTTAGGGATGATCCATGGTAGTGTTTTCAGATGTTTAGAATTTATTTAGATTTTTTTCTAATTTTTAATTTTTTGTATAATTAAATTTTTATTTTCACTAAGACATAAATTATTGTTAAATTACGAGTCTAATAATGGGGCTTTTATTTTTCCTAAATAAAGGACTAAATTTTGATCAATTTGGTATATTATTTGTAATTTTTAGATTTAATTATGATTTATTATAATATTTAAAAATTGTTGGGTCCCTAAAAGGGTTGAATTTTGACTTGCTTAGTTTTCTAACCTAATGACCCCCAAATCCAATAAAATTTTAATGTAAGCTATAAAATGTTACTAAGTTTAATATTTTGAAGTTTCACCCCTATTAGTTGTATGTACAATTTTCTAGAATTTATCTAAATTAACTACATATTTTTCTTAAATTTACCTAATTGTACCAATTTAGAGAGTTATGAATTTTCAAAATTTTAGGTCAAAAATGGACCCATTACTTTGTAAATTTATTCCACAGCAATCCCTTGAGCATATTGAACTAGAAATAATGCAAGGGATGCCTAAGATGATAAAAAACATTTCACCAAAATTTGAGTCCATTTTTGACCATTGGATAGTGTGAAAATTATAAAATTTTATTTTCAAACAAACCTAAAAAAATCTCTTTATACTTATCAAAATAACTTAGTTTTAATTTTAATAAATACTACATGAAAATATCTTTCCAATGAGACCAAAAACACTTAATTTGGTGAAATTTTGGATTTTTGTGAATTTTAGAAGTTCTGGGTATTTAAATTATTTTTTTAAATTAGTTTTAGTCAAATCAAGCTGATAGATTGACAAATATTATGCACTTGGAGCATCTCCCTCATCCACTTAAATGAGGTGGCAATAAACTTGGGGTTGTTGATTTGATTGTGGGAGAATTGGATGGCCTTAATTTGCCCAGGTCGCTAGACGGTTCGTAAACCTTGTGGGTTCAAAAACTGTGAACGTACGTAGTTTAGATCGGGCTATGTGGCTTTCCATGGATATTATGATCAGGAGAATGGTTGGGGAGGCTTTACTTATAGCTGGGGAGGTAGAGTTATCCCTGGAATGGGTTTGAGGCTACAGGAATTATAACTTTTAAAATATGTGACATATTTTAAAGCTTTGAGTGACGTGTAGGATTATTGCATTCCTTTAATGATTTCTATCCATAATTGATAGAGATATATGCATTTTGGTGCTACCAAGTATTCCTTATAGCCACCAAAATGCATGGAGGTGTGGATTTATATGGAAAATTTGGCTTGCCAAAGTGGCATAGCCACCTAAGCATGTAATTTGACTTTTTTTGCCACTTTGATTAGTCAACTAAGCATGTTGACTGATGAGTTGGCATGGAGAGTGAGCCTTGAGCTAATTCTAAAGGAGTGAAGACCAATGAGTTATAGTTTATATGGTCATATGAGAGCATAACTAGGTTTGACCAAATCTAGTTGAGTGGTCAGGTTAGCTAGGGTTTAATCAAAAATAAACTTAGAAATGTTTGAACCATGATTGGGACATCCTTTGAAATGAATTTAAGAATTTGGTTTGTTTAATTTGGTCATATGAGTTGGATTGACCCATTTAACCTTTAAAGGGGTTATTGGGTCAAACTAGGTTGACATGGTCTATTGGAAGTGGTTAGGGGCTTTGTAGAAAGCTCTAAGGTCAAATTCCACTAAGGGATAGGTCCAATGGCATATGTCATAAATATTTGAAGGTTTTATAGCTTTTAGAAATAGAATTAGTTTTTAATACTAGCGGCCTCAAAATGAGCTAAATTTTGATGGGTAGACCCTAGGGACATGACTAATTAATATTAAATTGATAGATTAGGAATTTGGTGTCATTTTATTGGGATTTGAAGTGTTTGAAAAATCACTAGAAAAGGCTTTTAGGATAGGGCCTTTAAACATTGGAGTTTTATTTGAATTTTTGGGTGTAAAGTGGATTGATCCTAGGGTCTAAGTTGATCTTAGATTCGGATTGGTTCTAGTGACCTAATACAAAAATGAGGTCATCATCCACTTAAATGTATAATAAAATTTAGTAGATAAAAGGTTGAATCAAAGTTAGTTACATGGTCGACAAGGTCTACCTTTTATTTGTGCAAGTTTATATGAGCGATGTCAAGATGGAGGACACACCTCAATAACTTCCATAAGGTTAGCATTCTTCAAGATTGATTGACACTTCATAGTTCTTTCACAAATTAATGGTCTCGAGAATAATTTTGGGTATTAAGTTTTGTTAATTACAAAACTCGAGAGCAATTAAAGTAACTTAACAAATGCTAATGAGTATATGACTCCATGGATCTATCATCATGAATGTTTACTCGATGGGTTCTCCTAGGAGTATGCTATAAGGTATAATGGATTAACCTTATATATCCATTCTTATGGACTGTGCTATATATAGGTGATGAATTCTCAATTTTTTATACTAATTGATTCTTTACTGTCAAAGTGTTATCCATTTTTCAACTAAATCCTTATAGTCATTATTATTAATCCACTCTTACTTGAGAGATAGTTGGATCAAAAAAAATTTTATCGACAACACAATGATCTTAAGAATAAGACTAACTGATAAGTAAGATTTTAAAACACAGATCAGACCAGCTAGTTTAACTAAATTGATCATGAACAAATCAACTAGCACATTCTAGTTCACATAATAACCAATCTCAATTAAAATTGTTCAGGATAGGAAGAAACCGACAGTCGAACGACTCACCCAGCAAATTGGAAAAAACTTCAAAAAATAGGGCAAACACATCAAAGCAGAATTATAGCCATTCGTACTAAATCTAATGTGGTAACAGCCATTCTCCCCTTTAATTTATTTAGTCAAACACTATCCCTCCTGACTATTACATTCTCATTCAGCTCCCCTTCATCTCCGTGTGAAACTTATCATTATTACATAGTTTTCATCAATGGCTAGAGCTTCTCAATGTTCAGGTGTAGAGATCTATGAAGTCTTCATTATCATCCATGGCAATCTTATTTGAAGAAAGAGACAACAAGAATAAAAGAGAAATCGCAAGGCTACGCTTCTGTAGAAGACAAAAAGAAGATGGTATGGTAGTTGCTCAAGCTACTAGTTAAATTCATTATGAATCCTATCACAAAGATTGTAAAATATAACACTTGAAGTGCCATGGGCTGGGCCCATGATCCCAACTTTTTGGTCTAAAGTTTGAATTGTCAACAATTCACGTTCAGGCGTGCTCCTCTCCGGTGACCATAGCTTCTCGATAGTGTTCTAAACATTAATTCAGGTGTGCTCATTATGGATATGTAGATCAATGTCATGGTAAGTTTTTTATTTTATAAATTTTATTATTTTACTAAGTTAGAAAACCTTATGATTTGGTCATCCTGTACGGGGAGCAATTGGATGGATGAACCACCTCGTGTAAGAAGCTAAAACTGATGGATGTGTCATTTCGAATTTGCTAAATTTGTGATTTGCATGTGTTAAAATTGCATTTGTGTAATATTACTATGTTAAAATACTTAATTTTTAAAAATAATATTATTTAATACGCCATTTGGTTCAACCCCGAATCAACCATTTTGATCGGTCCAACTTTGAACCTCTCCTTTTGGTTTGTTCTCTGGTTTGATTTACACAAAATTGCTAATAAGTAAGAATAAAAGAAAAAATCTTTTAATAAACTCTCTAATTCCACTATATTATTCAAAAGTGCATGATATGAGACAATGATATGTCAGTATGCTTTCTCTTTGTCCCATTATTTATCTAAGGATAGAGGTATAACTCTATAATTAAGATGATTAAATAACATGACATAGCCTAATGAAAATTGATCTTAAGTATAGATTTGCTCACTTGTATCTAACAGTTACATTCAATGCCTATAATGGTTTCCAAAGAGGGAGCAAGTCTCTACGAAGTAACAAACACTAAAGCTAAGCTAACTTTTGATTTTTTAGCTGCTAGGGTTCCCGGGCCAATTGCACTCCTCGCCCCCTAGCTGGTCGATTCTCCTAGGAAGTCTTCCTAATTTCTCTTTTCCTCTATTGTGGTGTATTTTGGTTTTCATTTTGCCTTCCTCCAGCCTCCTTGGCTAGAATTGTGGGGAAATGCCTGAGCGACCCTTGATTTTCAGATGGTCCGTTCAAATCTCAATTTTTTCTTGATTCTCTTATTGGTTGTTCCTCTGATGGAAGATTTCCTAATCTCAAACCTACTTCTTTTCTTGGCTTGCCTCACTTTGGATTTCGGAGGAAGAGATCACTACCCTAGCAGCTCCTTTTAAATTTTTGATAGCTGGTTTCTTCCCCTCTAAGTGACCTACTATTGAATTGATTTGAAGGTTTTTTTTTCATCCTTAAGCTAACTGGTGATGTCTCGGTTACCTTGTTTGATCAGTCACATATATTAATTAAAATGAGTATTGATCTTGATTATAGTAGGGTTTTCTATCATTTATCTTACTTAGGTAATAATGTCTACATGAAATTGACCAAATGGTCTCCTCTTGTTGATGTTGGTGTTGAATCTCCCATTATCCCTATTTGGATTTATCTCCCTATCTCTGCCCTCCTCTATTCTCCCCCTATATCCTTTATGGATTGGGTTCAATTTTTGGTAGGCCATTGAAGGTTGATAATGCTACATCCATGGGTTCCTATAATTTTTGTAGCCCATGTTTTGGTTAAGCTTGACATCACAAAAACTTATCCTGACAAAGTGTGGTTAGGTCTTGAAAAACTAGGTTATATTCAACTAGTAACTATGAAGTTTTCCTAGCTTCTTGTGCTTCTTGTAAATATATAGGGCATTTGAGTGGTGATTGCCGGCCTCATTAGTCTTTTACCCCGCCTATTGTAGTTCTTATTGTCTCTAAATTGATGAATGTTAATTTTAGCTGTGAGGGGGATACGGTGGCAAATACTATTTGTTATGTTGCCAATGAATTGGCTCTGGAGTTGGGTCTTACGAATGATGTTGACAGGAATGATGCTGGCCTTTCAATGGAAGTTGTTATTCAATTGGCTTTGATTTTTCCTTTTGTTGATCCCATTAATGTTAAATAAAAAGTTTCTCCTTTAGTTTCTGTTATGCCTATGAATATTGATTGTACTAATAAGGATGATGCATATGGTGTTAATGTTAACCTGAATGTTAATATTTGTTGCATTAACCTTATAGCTAGTCCAAGTTATGTTGAAGTTATGGAGAAGTCAGATGATAATTCCATTTCTTTAGGTTCTAGGGGTGGTGGTCCTAAGGTAAAGCTGGTTAATATGGATAATGTGGCTTCTAAGATGCTTTCTTCACCAATTCAAACTATGGTGGTTAATGAGGATAAGATGAAGTGGTGGTGCCTCTAGTTGATGTGCCTATATTTGTTATTTCTAGTGATGATTTATTAGCTCAACTTGCTATGGATAAAGTGGTGGGCATGGTGACTGGTTAGATGATGGAAATTCTTTAAGTGACAGGGAGGAAATTGATGAGAAAGAGTTGAATTCTCGGAACTACTTTGATTTAAGTATTCTTCAAATTGATGATGCTGGTTTTTTCAAAAATAGTGGTAAGAATAAAAAACATAAATCCAAAAAATAAATTATTATTTCTTTTGGATTTAAACTTCTTTCTTTTGTTGGGATCTGCAGGTTAGGGCAGGCTTTTTCTTTTAGAAGTGTTGGTTCTGCTTTTGGGGTCTACTAGTTGGGGTAGGCTTCTTTCTTCGGATATATTGGTAGTCTTTTGCTTTGCATGGTGTGTCATAATGGGGTTCTTGTCTCTTTTGGTTGCACTTATTTTGCTATTGTGGATAGTATTTGGTGCCCTTGGATAGCTTCAGGCAAATGGACAATAATGGGAAGGCTCTTGCTCGCTACCTAGATGTACTTGGCTTTATGGCAACCTTGGTGGTGGAATCATTAGTTTAAGTCAGATTTTGGTGGATTTTCTTTTGGATATGAGATGATGCTTACTGCTCTCAAAGTTATATGTGGACTAGATTGTCGCCTCTAATGGATGGTCTAAAAATATGTATAGGTTGTTAATCCTACACAATTTTTTTAAGGCTAACCAAGAGGGGGGTGAATTTATTATTTCAAAAATCTCTTGGAATATTAATAGAAAATCATTTATTAATTTAAAACAATTTGAATTTCTTTAAAATATGCTTTTCAACAATAAAAACAGATTTCAGAAAATAAAATATGGAAATAAAAAGATAAAAAAATTTATAATGATTCAATCCAACAAGAACTACGTCCACTTCCTAAAAATTCCCTCTACATGTATTACACTATTACCAAAGTGACTCTCCTTTTGCCCACATAGCAATGCGGAGAAGCCTTTACAATTTTCCTCTCTTCCATAAATCCACAGTGCGATAGAGTACCGTTATCCTTTCACACCCTCAAAGTGTCGGCAGAGTACCCTCATCCTTTCACACACTCCAAGTGTCGGTAGAGTATCGTCATCATTTTCACACCCTCCAAGTGTTGGCAGATTACCATCAACCTTTCACACTCTCCAAGTGTCGGCAGAATACCAAATCTTCTCCAAAGATCTTCTCTCAAGCATTAAGAAAGAAAAAAGTAAGAGAATTTACACAAGAACAAAAGAGATTCTCAACTTTGAGTAACCTAGTGAATCCTTCACACTCCACTGGCAAGAACTATCTCTCAAAAACTCTCCCAAATCACCCTTTCACTTTAACTCTAAGAAATCATGAAGACCAGATTTGTACCAGTCAGCTTCTAAGGACCTTTTATATGAAAGACGTGAAAAATCATTCATAAAATTAAAAATTTTAATTTTGATCATACATAATTGTATAGTATTATCGATATTCATCCCGGACGAATAGTTCAAAGTTGGCTCATTTAATCCTGTACAAAATATATTCATACAAGCATATCATATAGCATGATATGTATATCGTACAATACGAACAGTTATCAAAAAATTCATATTCATCCAGACAAAAATGTTCCCCATAATTTTGTACTCTATATGTCATATGTATGAAATCCATATCATCCCAGATGAATAGTTCAAAAAATTTATTTGTTCGTATGGATGAAAATGTTCCCAACATTTTTTTACTCTAGACACTGTCTGTATGAAATCCAGATCATCCCGGACAAACAGTTCAAAAAATTGATATGTTCATCTAGATGAAAATGTTCCACACATTTTTGTACTCTGGATGTCGTCTATACAAAGCCAACTTCCTACAGTACGAATAGTACTTAGAAAATTTTTCTCATCCAAGCTTTGATTAACTGCTTGCTAGAGAAAATAACTAATCAAATCGTCTAGTACAAATTGAAATCGTATAGTGCAATTAGTTTAAAAAATTTACAAATTTTTGACACTCCCCTAATGTGTATGTGCACGGTTACTCAATTATAATCACTCTCTGAAACTCAATAAAAGTGTAAAAATACATACTCCAATTATAATGAACCCTATACAAATCTGACTTGAAGTCTTCAACATTATGGAGTATGATTTCCATGAAATGTTAGTTCACACAAACAACAAAAGTAATATATCGGATATATGTTAGGAGAAGCAATAAATAAAAATAATAATATTTGGAATCATAAAAAAATACATATGATATGAAAACATAGTTATCAAAACTAAGTTGCAACACTCCCCCTTTTTGATAATGGCAAAATAATTATTATTTGATTTAACTTTTAAAATTAAAATTTCTCCTTAGCTCCCTCTAAATGAATGATCCATTGAAATCTATGGAATCTCATAAAACTCAAAATACCTAAAAAAAATGCAAATAAAATATGAAATTAAAAATACAACGAAAACAAAAACACGACTAACATACAACCATTTAACACATAACAAACACGACAAACTTACAACCATTTAACACATAACACATGTATTATATTCAATCAAACATACACACATCACACAACACACAATCAAACAAATACACACATTACACAATTAATTAAACAACATTATTACATCACACAATTAATCAAATAATATTATTACTTCCCCTTTTTGACAACAACAAAAAGAGGAAATAGAAATTGAAATGATTAGTTTCAATAGATAAACCAAAAGATGAAAAGAAATGATTTTAAATCAATTGTAATTTCAATATGAATTCCATACTAGTAAAAAGGAAAAATTCAAATTTTAAAATTAAAGAACAACCAAGATAAGAAAAGTTAATCAAAATCATGTTTCATGATAAACAAATTGAATAAAATGATTATTGCAAAAATGATGAAATGAAGATTAGTTAACTTCAAATTCAATATAAAATATAATTGTTAATCAGATATATTTGGATTAGAGATTTAATGATAGAGAAAATAACATAATAACAAATCTCAATTTGGAGATATTGCACATCTTTTTTTGGTACATTTTGTGCATCTTTTCTTTTTGGGCTAATTTTGTGCCTCTTTTCATTTTACGAATCGTTGCGCATCTTTTCTTATTTTGCATACATTGTGCAAACCCCCTTTTTTATTTTTTTAAATCTTTCCAAAATTACTAATCCAAAAACAAATTTCATTAATAATAAAAATAATTTTATTTAAAAAGAAATAAAAAATAATAAGACATCAATATTGCAATAATAAAATTCTAGTTATATTTGCCTAAATGAATATGAAAATGATCTTCTTATCTAAATCCAGAAATAATGTAATTTAAATTTTTTGAAAAATTAGATTTAGTAATGAAATTAGTTTGTAAAGCAAAATAATTTATAAAACATTTTTAATAAATTTCAAAAGGTTTTTCATATTAGGAAAACTAACATTTCAAAAAGTAATAACCAACAACAAGTTTCCAATACATGACAATTTTCATTAATTCATAAGGTTTCACATATAACCACTCCTAACAATATCACAAGTACAACATTTAACATTAACTCATAAATAAAACTTACCAACACATAACAATCACTATAATCATAAACAAAAAAATTGCACATTAGCACTCTCAAAAGCTCGATAGAAAAATAACAATAAAGTACAACTAGAACTTAGAGGGGCCCTAGTTTGGAGGAGAAGGCTGATTGATCATAGAAAGTAGCTATTCATCATAGCTACATTTATGTTCACCGAGTCAAACTGACCTCAGATCCATACCATATATTCTTGATGTCTTGCATCCTACTGATTTAGATGAGTCTAAATTTGATCAAATTGTTAATCAAAGCGAGTCTCCAAATGATTAAACCACTAGACTATTTCTTGAAAATAATTTTGATTTATTCCAAGTGCAGGTGTAAGTGCTCCCCCTTCTCCCTCAGAATCGTAACTCAGATTATGATCTCTTCCCAACAGTGATCTAAAAAAAAGCTTTGGTAAAGTAGATTGGAAGCTTAGTGGGAGGGGTTAGAATGAATCAAATTTTACTTCTTCTCAAGGATATAGGAAACAAGATGTCTTAAGGCCACCTTCTTTTCCTCTTATGATGAGGATAACCAATCTTAGAAAGGTTATGCAGATAATTCATAATGAGTTGGGCTTCATTAATTGGTCTTTCAGTCATGATAAGATATGTTATAGTGGACATGAGTGGAGTTATATTCACTCGATCACCAGCTTTAGGAATAGTAGAAGTTCTTAAAATGTGCTGGATGATCCAGGCATATTTGTTCAATGTATAGACTTGGGCTAAATGATTAACTTGAGAAACACCTCTAAGAACATTGTTAATTTTTAGTCCAGTCAAAATTGGACCTAGAGTTCATGGTTTGTGCTTTAATCTCTTGAGTTCTGTGTCATTTTTAGACAAAGGAACTTATCCTAGAATTATCCTCATTGACTCTCATATTGGCTAAGAAATAATAAAAGGTTTCTTTGTGATATGTGTAGATAAGAGTGAAATGATGGATAGTTGAGTGGAGGAAAACATAGGCATAATAGAAAAATGAAGATCATCTTGGATAAGCAGTTGATATTGAGTGATCTTCATAGAATTGAACCTAAAATATGCATCTTCAAACTTCTTAGATAAAAAGTTAGAATCAGTAGCAGAAGGAGAAGTTCTTTTAAGACCTCGAGGATGTTTGCTAGAACTGGCCATTTCCTAGATACGGGCTCTAAAAAGTTTTGGAAGGAAAGAAAGTGAATGCAAAATTATTTCAAAACCCTTCTATATAAATAAAATGGCAAATCATAATGTACGAAATTTACTCTGTACATATGATCGTGAAGTCGTACGGGACAAAAATTATTTCATACATATGAATGAAAACTTCCAAAGATGAAATAACTTTTTGTAAAATATTATTTATGAGGCGTCCATTCGAACATGCTTTTTTACCACTCAACCATATAGATGAATAGGTGTTCATCCGGGATGATAAAAAAATTTAAGATTGTTTTAAAGATGGTTAGGTTCGTCCCCTATAGAAATTGACACCAAGATTGTACAGACGAAGATGATTTCATACGTACGATCAGCAATAAATAACTGAACCTAACTGATAAAACCATCCCCATTCATATAGATGAATCCATACTAATCATACTATATGATGACATTATCATACAGTATGAAACCTTTAAA